TGTTTGTTTTTTGGCACTGAAAATTTTACTGCAATGGAATGGAATGAATTCCATTGAATAATAATGTTTTCATTTATTGATTTTTTTTCACCGGATCAATATACTTGATCGATTTTAAGCAATTGATTGTTGATTGTTGTTGTTGTTGATGAACTCTTGATACTTAAAAAAAATTCATTAGAAATGTCACAGTATGCCATTCTCTCTCCCTCTCTCTATCTCTCTCTTTCCTTGATTTCGATTTTATTATCGTCATCGTCATCATCAAAATAATTATTATCATTCTTCGATCATCATCATCATCATTCGATCAAACTTTTTCAACAACAACATTCTATTTTTGTGATTTTAATTCTTCGGTTCTTCGTTGGGGAATAACAACAACAGCAACAACAACAAAAATGAAATTTTCATTTTCAATTTTTTTCTGGTTTTTTATTCTCACACTTTTCAACAATCTCATTCAAAAAATGTACTAATTTGTGATAAGAAAATTATTATTATTAAAAAAAAATCAAGTGTTTTCCACCACTAAACACATGACCAGATGGTTAATTTTTTTGTTTTGTTTTGTTGGTTGGCTGGCTGTTTTTTTTTTCTTTCTCAGTTGATTTTTATCGATTTTGCGGTTCAGTTATATAATGGATATGAATAGAATTTTTTTTTTTTGAACCTTGGTAACCAGCAAAACAAACGAAAAACAAAAAAAAAACAAAGACAAACCTGAATTTGATTGAAATTTTTTGTTTTTTCATATAATTCAAATTTTATTCACGTTTTTATACGATGAAAGTTATGATAAGAATCAATTCAAAAAAAAAAAAAAATTAAAAATTATGCGAAAACATTATTACACACACAGGTATACACACACACCTTTTGAACTAATGAAAAAAAAAACAAATTAAAATTCTAATCAAAGTAAATGAGCTATAGAAAACAAAAACACAGGTAAAACAATGTTTATCAATGATTTACACAACCGAAATGAAATACGACAGGACAGGTATTTTACAGGTATAATCATATATTTCATGTGATGATTTTCAAAAAAAAAAAAAAAAAAATCAAAGGGGACAATTTCCACACACACAAACACACTGAAAAACAAACACAAACATTTCTTCTTCGTTATGCTTACCTTGAAAATGTTGTTGTTGTTGCGGTGGTGGTAGTTTTTCAATGATGTTGAGCATTTAGAAATGAATCTTTTTTTATTCAATTTTTCACCTTGAATGAATTTTTATTACTATTTATTGATTCGATTGAACATTTGATTTTGACCATAAAGACACACAAAACACACACAGGAAAAGATGAAAAACAAGCAAAGTTTATCACACAAACACAGAGAGAGAGAATATATTGAAATTTTTCTGAAACAGAAACTCAAGCAAAAAGAAAAATTCAGAGATCAAACAGAGAAAAAACAACAAAAAACAAAACAGATAAACAAAAATATAAAAAAAAACAGGTAAAGATGGGCGCGTATCGTATTATTATTTCAGTGACGAGAATAAACACACACCAGAGAGACAGAGTGCAAAAGCAAAAAAACACCAAACAGAATGATGATCCAATATCACGCAAAAATGATATTTTTCCGTTGATAAATAATGATATTAAAGGTATTAAATGAATGAATGATTCTATCAGTAAAAATTTTCTGCTGTTGTTTGTTGTTGACAAATGAAAATATAAATGAAATTATAACAAAGATTTTTGCCTCAAGTTTTTCTGTTGTTTGTTGTTGCGTTTTGCATATTATTATTCACCTTTGTTTATTTGTCAATGATGATTTTTTTTCTCGTTTATGAAATGATGATGGTGATGGTAAAATGGGAAAAATTGAGCAATTTTGGAGATGAGAGGGAGAGAAAAGTTGTTGAAGAAAAACATTTAGAAAATGTTAACCAAATGATGCTAACTGATGATTTTTTTTGTTTTGTTTTGATAATCGATATTAATTTTTTTTTGTAAATTATAAAGAATTTTTCAACAATTATAATTTACAATTTACAAATGACAAACTGAAAATTACATTTTGTCAACATTTTTTTTGTCGCTATCAGTGTAGTCGCTGTTTTTTTTTTTTTCGTTGTTGATAATGTTGCCAAAATAATTTTGGAAATAAACACACCGAAAGAGTTGAATTCTTTCTGTAAAGAAAGATAGAAAACAAAACAAAAAATAAAAATATTCAACCAATTTAACACTTTTATTACACAAAGGGAATATAATTTTTGAATGAAAATCTAAATCAATAAATAATGGAATGATATGGCAAGAAAATCTTGTCGAATTATCATTATTGTTGTTGTCATCGCTAAATCATCATCATCATCATCATCATCATGGTAGATTAATGTTGTTGATGATATTTTCAATGTTCACAAACGGAAAAAAAGAAAATCACATTTCTTCTTTTGGGTTAAGTGACGATGATTTTGTTTTAAAATCAAATCACAATAACCAGAACCAATCGAAATTATCACTATCTAATGATGATTCTTTATTTCATTCATTCATTCATTCAATTCTTCACTTATTGAGTTTTTTTTTGTAATGTTTTCATTTTGAATATAAACACACACACACAAATTATACTCGAATGTTTGATGTTTTTTTCAAAAAAAAAAAAATTTCAATATGATATATGAGCAGTGGTTGGTTGTAATAGATCAAATTTATCATCAATATATACACACATCCCTAACAAATATCATATGTATCCATTGAAAATCATCATCATCAAAAATTATTGATATGAAAATTTTTTTCGTTCTCGTTCTCGTTCTTCAACATTCACATTTCACTCATTTACTCATTGAAAAGAAGCAAACAGAAAAACATAAACATAAACATAAACAACACAAATACACACACTATTGAATTGAATTGAAAGAATAACGAAGACGAAATAACGGTAAACGCCGACGCTGAAGAAGAATTATATACACACACAGAGAGAGAGAGAGTGAGAGAAAGATTCGATATCGTTTCCTTTAACGTTTTGTTTTATGAAAAAAACAACCGACTAACCAACCAACCAAAAGGAAAGGAAAGGAAAGAAGAAAACAAAAACTTTCAATGATCATCATCCGTTGTGGTTCAATTTCGTTCGTTTTATACAACAACAAGAAGGAAAAAAAGCAGAAGCAAAAGTATCCGCATCAATATTATTATCATCATCATACGATATATCAATGTGGTAGTAGAAGCAAATAATACATTCAGCTATTGGGCGTCAAACAAAAAAAAATGAAATGAAATGATTGCAAAATACCAAAATCCTTGTTGTTGTTGTTGTTTCGCTTGACAAAAATGTAAATGTGTGGAATCGTTGTTGTTGCTGCTGGTTGAATGAAGAAATTCATATAAAAAAAATTTTGCTACTGCTTCTTCTTCGTATAATTCATTCGTTACTTTCGTATGTATACATATTTGAATTGCATTGAACAACAACAACGAATGTATGGTTATATATGTCCGGATAACCGATCCTCATATAGATATTTTCAACAACAACAACAACAAAAAAAACGAATCTTTTTTTAGTTATTTCCAAAAAAAATGATGATGATCTTTCCTGTCTTTTCGTTGTTATTTTTTATTTCCAACTAGATAGTTATATAGATTTTATCATTATTATTCGGACAATAATACTATTAATTCAAATATATTCTTGTCCTTATATTTAATTTTTTCAGTTTTGAATATAAAAGATTTCATTTTTCTATATATAGGATATTCGAAACAGCCACGCGCAAATCGAATATCAAAAAAAAAAAAAAAAAAAAATTCGAATGGCTGATTTATATATAGAATCTTGTGGTCGAATTCTGATTCTGATTCCTTGTATATTCGGGTTATATAATTCTAATCGGTTTGGATTGTTTGTTTTTTCTTCTATATAAAGTGTATATAAAATGAACGAACCTATTCTGGTTCATCGAAATGTTGTTGTTGTTTTTTGTTTCTGGTTATTCTCTTCCAACATTCCATGAATGAAATAAAAAAGGGGTCAATCAATCGATCGATCGATCGATTGAAGTTCGTAGTAAAAAAAACAACAATGTTTGTGTGTGTGCTTGAAAACAATCAAATATAGATCATCAGTGAACTTTTTGTTGGTTTTTTGTGAAATAAAAATAAAAACTAAAAAAAAAAAATAAAACAGCGTCGGTGTGATGACATCCGATACATCTCAAATATATAGCATCCTCATCGTATTTTTTTCACTGGTTGTTCCATTTTTTTCAGGAACTTTTCGCTCGCTATGTTTGTTTGATTGGAGTTTTATTGAGACTTTTTTTTTATATTCAATTTGATTGCCATTCTGGAATTATAAAAAAATAAGTAAAGTAAAAAGTAAAAACGAAACGAAAATGTTGTTTGAAGAAAGAAAAAGAGATTCTTGATTGGAAGAATGGAAGAAAAAACAAGATAGAAAAGTTTTCAATGATGATGATGAGTTGTATCATCTTTTTTTTGTTTTGTTTTCATTTGCGGTTTTGCATAATAGATTGAAAAATAAAACAGATGTTTAAATAGATAATGATTCAATATGGAAAAATATTCGATTATAATCGATTGATTGATTGATTGGTTATGAATTTTTTTAATTAACGAAATTTTCTGTAATTTCATGTTTCAAGATTGATTCGAACGTTTATTCTTTCATTGTTGGGTGTCTTTGGCGTAGTGGTTATCGCGTCTGCTTTACACGCAGAAGGTCCCAGGTTCGAAACCTGGAAGACACAAATTTAATTTTATTGTTGCTGTATAACTTTGCATAATTACATGCGGATACAGCAATTTTTTTTGCTGATATTCGATTAATTTTTTTCAAAATTTAAACGTGAGTTTTTGTATTTGGATCAGATCAAATATAAACCATTTGTGAAACCATTATTATCCGTTTTTTTTTCTTCGTTTCATCATTCTATAACAACTCAAGCATGTTTGAGTAGAAATAGTTATTTGATGCAGCACGTGTTGTCACTGTCAACATCATAATATTATTTACAAACTCAAGTTTTTATTTTTATTTTTTTTTTGTGAAAATTATTCATTGTTTAAATAGTTTTTTTAATGCTAATGACCTAAAGATGGCAATCAAAATGAAAACAGGATCTAAAAAATTTAAATTACAAAAGAATAAAATCAAAAAGAAAAGATCCAAATCAGTTAAAATTTCTCAATCCAAAAAACTCGAAAACAAAGATATCGATGAAGAATGGGATGAAAACAATGATATTGATGATGATGATGATGATGATCTTGATCTGGAAGAAGTATCTAATCCGAAAAAATGGAAATCCAATTCGAAACCTGTATCAAATGATGATCACGATTCTGAATCATCCGAAGCACAAGAATCCGATGATGAATCCATTATGGATGCAACAATGCATAAGAAAACATTGGAAAGTTTAAAGGAAAAAGATCCAGAATTTTATGAATATCTTCAAAAGCATGATAAACAATTGCTTGATTTTAATGACGATGAAGAGCTGCCATTGGATGATGATGGCGAAAATCTTGATCAATCCGATGATGAAGATTCTGAAGAATCAGAAACATTAAATATCACTATCGATAATGTCAAAGAATGGAAACAAATTCTTCAAAATCCAACAACAAAAACCAAGTGTTTGAATGCAATCAAATCATCTATTAAAGCATTTCGAAAATCAGTTCAACAAACACAAGATTCATCTGATCAAATGTTAATGAAACCGATGTCGGTTATGAATCCATCATTATTCAATATGATAATCAATACCTGTCTTGTTGATTTATTGCCTGCCATTTCACATTATCTTGGCCTAAAAGTTTCACCTGATTCACAAAATGAAGATGACAAAATCAGATGTCAATTGTTTGATCCACGTCGTTCAAGAAATTGGAAACGAATCATATCATCAATGAAAATGTATTTAACTGATATATTAAAAATGATGACATCATTATCGATTGAAGCACGGCTATCATTTGAACGTCATATTTTGGAATTAATACCTTATTATCAAGTATTTCCACATTTAATCAAAAGAATTATTCGACATTCAATTCAGGAATGGCATTCAAGTCAAGAAGAACGATCACGGGTTTTAGCTTTTCTTATTCTTTATCGTACTATTCGTGTTATACAAACAAATGAAAATCATATGACCAATTCAGAACGAGAAACATTTATCAATCAAATATTAAGACAATTATATATGACATATGCTGTAACATCGAAAACAACAAATGAAATTACATTAACAAAAATTCAATTTATGCGAAATTCACTTGTTGAACTTTATCGACTTGAACCATCGATTGCTTATCAACAATGTTTTATTTTTATGCGTCAATTGACCATAAATTTACGTAAATCTGTAATGGTAAAAGAAAAAGATGCACTAAAACGTGTTCATAATTGGCAATTTATTCATTCATTAAATTTATGGTCACAATTAATTGGTACAAGCCTTAAACATAATGATCTTTTTGATCAATTATTAACACCTGTTACAAATATTTCACTTGAAACATTAAGATTATTTTCAGCATTTAAATATGTTACATATAGGCTACAGATAATTGAATTATTAGTTAAATTATCATCAGAATCCGGTTATTTTATACCAATTTTACGAACTTTTCTGGAGATTATTGTACAATTAGCAAAGAATAAAAGAGAAATTATTCTTAAAAATAAAATGAAAACAAAAACAAAGAAAAAAGAAATAAAACCGATTGGAATTGGCAAGAAAAAAGAATCAAAAAATTTAATCAAAATAATCAATTTAAATGTTACATTGAAAACAACAAAAGAACAAATACTTGAAATGGATTTCATTCAAAAATTAATCGATAAAATCTATGAATTATTATTATATTATTTAAAATCAATTTCACATCGAATATCATTTCCAGAAATTATTCTAATATTTCATCAAGAATGTCGTAAACAAATCAAATCAATACCATATGTTCGTGGTCAAACAATGATGAAACAATTAATGGATAAATGTGATAAAAATGCTCAATTTATTATTGAAAATCGTAAAAAACAAAATCTATACTATGGAAAACTTAAAGATTTAATTGATCAACAAAAAATTGTAAGCTGTTTTTTTTGCATTATTATACGATTAATTTTAATGATTTTTTTTCGTTTTGTTTTTGGTTATAAATAGGAATCATTTGAGAATGAAATACGCAATCAAAAAACACCGTTGATTGAATTTTATGAACAATGGCGTCATCTAAAATCTAAACAATCATCAACAAAAACATCTGGTGATGATGGTCCACTTGAATTAGCCGAAAATGAATTAATTACTCCTGATTTACGTGAATTCGATATCGGACAAGATATTGAACATAATGACGATGAAAATGTCGACGATGAAGAACTGAATGAATCCGAACTAGATGAACTTGACATGAATAACGACGACGATAATAATGATGATGATGATGAAGAAAGTATTGAAGAATTTGGCGAAGATGATGAAGTTGAACTAACTGAAGAACAGATGAAAAAAATCCAGGCTAAAATTGAAAAGGTTGAACGAAAATTATCAAACAATAAATCATCGATTATCGAAGAAGATGATGATAGTAATGATGCAAAACATAAAATCGACAATAATGGATCAAAGAAAAGAAAACGAAAACGTTCGAAAAAGAATAGGAAAAAAGTTCGTGGACTTAATCCAAATCTTCAGCTAGAAGGAGCATTTGATTTATCATCCGATGATGATGAATAAAATGTTGAGTAAGCTTGTAAATCGTATAGAGAAATGTTCCTGAAATATATTTTTTAAAAATTTATCAATTTGAAAAAAAGTTTCCTGGAATTTTTTTTTTTTTGGCTGTATTCGATTTATTATTTTGCACGTGCACTCAGCGCACATTTGTACATGTATCGAGATGTTGTGCTGAAAAGAGATTTTTTTTTTTTTTGGCAACACGACATTCTTATGAATTTTCTTTTTCTTAAAATTAAATGCAAAAATAAAAATTTAAAAATAAATTGACCGTATTCAAAGATATATCATATCATGATTATCATTGTCTTATTGTTTTCAATTCATTAAGCTCATAGCAAAAATTATATTTAAAAAAAATAAAATACTCAATGAATTATTAGTGATATATTACTTGCAAGTCATCGTTTAAAAATTATTTTCTTTAAAAAAGAAATCTACATCCTTCAAATTGGATCAAATACTCAAATATTTATCAATATTTTTAAATCTCATTACTGCTGTACAATAATCATCATCATCATCATCATCGAGTTGGAAAACAAAAAAACGTTTCGGTATGGCATTTCAAATATGTTATGTTGATTCAAATCTAGATCAATGTTTATTGATTATTTTAATCGTCATATAATTATGTTATGATAATAGTGATTTGATTAAAAATTGTGTCCTTGATCAAGGACTTTTTTCACTTTTCATTCGCTACTTGTTTTTTTAGTTTCTTCGTGTGTTGTACATTCTAATTCTAATTTTGATTTTTTTTTCATTACATAAAATTTATATTTCAAATAGATATCAACCATTTTGTTGTGATTCTGATTGTCCATTCATTCAATTAACGATGACACAAGATAAACAGTATGTATCTTTGATAATTATTTTTTTTATTATGATTTATTGATTGTTTTTAATCATAGTTCGTTTATTGGTCTTGGAAATCCATTATTGGATGTTATGGCATCTTGTGATGAAGAATTTCTTAAAAAATACGATCTCAAACCTAATGATGCTATTTTGGCTGACACTAAACATGCAAAACTTTGTTCCGAAATGTTAGAAAAATTTAATGTTCAATATTTAGCCGGTGGTTCGGTACAGAATACAATGCGTGTTGCACAATGGTTTTTTAAAGAGCCAAATGTTTGTGTATTTTTTGGCTGTGTTGGTGATGATGATTTTGGTCGACAAATGAAACGTAAAGCAGAAGAAGATCATGTAAATGCTGTTTATATGGTTGATTCAGAAACACCTACCGGTACTTGTGCTTGTTTGATTACAAAACATGGTAAACATCGATCATTATGTGCATATCTTGGAGCATCACAAAAATTCTCAATCGATCATGTGAAAAAAAACATTGATTTGGTCGAATCGGCACGTATATATTATGTATCGGGTTTTCATTTGATTATCAGTTTAGAACCAACATTATTATTGGCTAAACATGCACATCAATTTCAACATAAATTGTTTGTTATAAATCTTTCTGCACCATATATTTCTGAATTTTATTCAGAACAATTACTTCAAGTTATGCCATATGTAGATCTATTGTTTGGTAATGACAGTGAAGCTAATTCTTTTGCTAAGATGCAAAACTGGGAGGTAAATAAAATTTATGAAAATAATTATTAATTTTTGATATTTAAAAATTTTTTTTATTCATGTTTTTTTATAGACTACTGATGTAAAAGAAATTGCTCAAAAAATAGCTGATTGGGAACCAATTTATCGTCCACGAACAGTTATAATAACACAAGGAAAACGTCCAATAATTGTTGCCTTTTCAAATAATCGACTACCATTGGAAACATATACGGTACCGCTGTTAAAAGATGAGGAAATTGTCGATACTAATGGTGCTGGTGATGCATTTGTTGGTGGATATATTGCCTATCTTTTGGCAAACAAACCATTGTCCGAATGTATGAAAGCTGCAAGTTTTGCTGCACAAGAAGTAATTAAACAATCTGGTTGTACTTTTCCAAAAGAAAATCGAATGAAACTTTGAATAAGATATTAAATTTTAGCAAACGAAAAGTAAAAAAAAAATGATACAAAATTATTGATAATGAATAATATTGAATTTTTTCTCAATATCTTTTTAAATGGACCAAAATTATTTTAGAGTTGTTTTTTCTTTCTTTTTTTTTCTTCGTTATTTTTGTCGTCATCGTAGATTGTAGGTTTTGTTGATTATATGAAATTTCGGAAATAAATGTTTTCATATTTTTTTTTGTTTGCTTGATATGACATGTTTTTTTATCAATGTTTATTTTAAAATCATCAGGAGAAACAAGTAAATTTTATCTTTTCAATTGGTGGCAAAGCAAAATAAAAAGTGATAAATGAAAGTAATCAAACACATCATTCGATGATTGTCTCATTTCAAAGTTGAATTTTTTTTTTAATTTTGTTCTCTTTGTTTCTTGTTTGTGTTTTGCTTTTTGCTTTTTTTCCTGATTCTTGTGATGTCCAAAAATATTTCCAATTCGGCCATTATTGGTATTGGTCATCCTTTATTCGATCTTATTGTATCGAATGTTGATGAAAAATTTCTTCAACGTTATCAACTTGAATCTGATAATGTAATACTTGCTAATGATGATGATGATGATGATATTCATCATACCTTAACGGATGATTTGCTTAAATATTTTGAAAATATTCAATATGTACCGGGTGGTTCAGTACAAAATACAATACGTGTTGCACAATGGTTTTTTGATCAACCAAAAATCTGTACAATTTTTGGCTGTATAGGTAATGATGATTTTGGTCGACAAATGAAAGAAAAAATCGAAAATATTGATAATGTTCAATCAATTTATTGTATCGATAATGAAAAACCGACAGGAAAATGTATATGTTTGATAAATATTGATTCCGGTGGTCATCATCATCGATCATTGATTACATTTTGGGATGCATGTCATAAATTTCGTATGGAAATTCTACAACAAAATCTTTCAATATTAAATGATGCAAAAATTATTTATACATCCGGTTTCTTTTTAGTATCAAATCCTGAATGTGTACAATTATTAGCCGAATTATGTCAAAAATCAATTGATATTAAATTTGCATTCAATTTATCTGGATCGTATGTGGTAAAAAATTATTCACAACGTTTATTGAAAATTTTTCCCTACATTGATCTTTTATTTGGAAATATAACCGAAACATTTTCATTTGCTCGAACACTTGATTGGATACAAAATGAAAATAATGATAAAATTGATGATATTGTTGAAAAAATGGTACATTTAGAATCAACAAAAACCAATCGAATAGTAATTATTACACAAGGTCCAGGTGAAATTATTGTTGGAACAACTAGAAATTCAATTCAAAGATTTTCTGTACCATCGATTCCATTCGATGAAATTAATGATACAAATGGTTCAGGTGATGCATTTGTTGGTGGATTTCTTGCCTATTATCTAATTGGACGTTCAATAAATGATTGTATCGATGCCGGTATTTATGCAGCTCAACAAGTGATACGTTGTTGTGGTTGTACATTACCGAAAGTGAATAAACTTCGATTATTATCAAAGTGATTTATTCATCATTGTTTTTTTACCTTTATCATTTTATGGATGTAACAATTATAATGACATCATAACATTTATTAGATTTAACCGTAATAAAATTCCACAAATTAATCCTTAATGAAAACAATAAAAAAAAACAATGATAAGAAAAACAAGTACAATTTTATTGTAATAAAAATTTGGACATAATCAGCAACTAACAAACCAAAAAAAAAAACGAAATAATTTTATTTATCATTTTGTAATTGTAAAATTATCAAAACGATAGAAAAAAAATGACATATCCGACATATATCGTTTTTTTTTCTAAATAACAACTATTAACCTCTCCCGCATACATACCTCACATGATTATACATTTTTATGGTAATCAAATTATGGATTATTCAAGAAAACGATCTGTATGTTCTGATCTGAAAATGTAAGAATTTTGCTGTTGTTTTTTTGATCTATTTATGATCATCATCCTGGATGATTCGATAATTTATGACACCATTCTTGTGTGTGGGGAAAATTATTTTTCAAAAATGTCATTTTTTTTACCGCGGTTTCTAAAAACAAAAGACTTTGGTCAGTTGATTAGCTGTTGTTGTTGTTGTTGACAGTAGATTTCAAACAAAATTTCATTATCATTGGATGCTGTTTACAACATTTTTTTTCATATATTCCAATTAATGGATTATAATTAGTTAAAAATGGAAAAAAATAAGCATCATAAAATAATAAATAATGTTGCTTTTGTTAATGTAAAAAAAACTAATAATAATTGCACTCTTTTGTTTGAGGCGAGCAAAAAAAAACAAAACAACAAAAATGACGATAAGATCCATACCCTTATTAACTGATGATTTAAAAAAATGATAATGATAATTCGGGTAGTAATTATCAAAGGATGTATAAAAATTTTATATAAAAATAACCGGTGAAAAAAAAATTTATAATTCAATCGAATTGTGTTTTTTTAATTCTTACAAATTTTTTGAATATTAAAATATCATCTGCAACGAATAAGTGAAAATAATCAATCAGTTTTATTACAAGTGACAAACAAACTAACAAACAGGATGAAAGTAATAATAATTTTATCCATTTTTGTTACAATTTTTTCATTTCAACCATATGGTATTAATGCTGCAAAATTTAAATGTCCAGAACCATTTGGTTATTATGAACATGAAAATTGTTGGCAATTTTATCAATGTTCATGGTTTACACCGTTTGTAATTACCTGTCCACCATTTACACAATGGGATCAACGTATTCTTACTTGTCGATATATTACCGATTGTAAACGACCACCATTATTTCCAACAACTACGACCCGAAAACCAACAACAACAACCCGTAAACCAATAACAACATCTACAACAACAACTACGACCCGAAAACCAACAACAACAACTCGTAAACCGACAAAAATAACAACCACAACCCGTCGACCTACGACCACAACTCGTAAACCGACAAGAATAACAACCACGACCCGTCGACCTACGACGACAACTCGTAGATCAACAACAACAACCCGGCGACCTGATTCTCGTTTTGAATGTCCAAAAGCAAATGGCCGATTTGCACATAAAGAATGTTATAAATATTATCAATGTTCACAATGGAATGCAATAGAAATGAAATGTCCAAAAAGTACACAATTCGATAAAAACCAACAAGAATGTGTACCAATATATGATTGTCCTAGACCTGCATTAGGATATGAATGTCCTGAGCCATCTGGATATTTTCCACATGAAAATTGTTGGATGTTCTATCAATGTGGTAATGGAATGGGTTATGAAATGGTCTGTGCAAAAGGAACTCAATGGAATCAAACAATTTTAAATTGCGATCATTTGAGTGATTGTGAACGACCTGATATTGACGGCACAACATCAACAACGACATCTAATCATGAGGAATCAACAACTGAAATTAGAACTACATCAACTCCTAACGATAACGATGACGATAAAACAACCACAATTAGACCCACAACGGTGGAATCAACAACATCAAATAATGACGATGATGATGATAAAGAAACCACAACAATGGAATCCACTACAACAAATGATAATGATGATGATGAAACTACGACAATAGAATCGAGCACCGAGCAGGAAACAACAACCACAAACAATGATGATAACGAAAGCACAACTGTGGAATCCACTACATCAAACAATAATGATGATGAGACCACGACCGCAGAATCGAGTACCGAACAAGAAACAACAACCACAAGCGATGATGATGAAACCACAACGGCTGAATCAAGTACTGAAATGGAAACAACAACCCAAGGTGGTTTTCAATGTCCTGAACCGTCTGGATATTATGAACATGAAAATTGCTGGATGTTCTATCAATGCGGCAATGGAATCGCNGAAACCACAACTGTGGAATCCACTACATCAAATGATAATGATGATGAGACCACAACCGCAGAATCAAGTACTGAACAAGAAACAACAACCACAAACGATAATGATGATGAAACCACAACTGCGGAATCAAGTACAGAATCAGAAACAACAACCCAAGGCGGCTTTCAATGTCCTGAACCGTCTGGATATTATGAACATGAAAATTGCTGGATGTTCTATCAATGCGGCAATGGAATCGCGTATGAAATGACCTGTCCAAAAGGTACTCAATGGAATCAAACGATTTTGACTTGCGATCATTTGACTGATTGTGAACGACCTGATATGAATGAAACAACAACAACATCGAATGATGATGACGATGAAACCACAACATCAAACGGTGATGACGATGAAACTACGACAGTAGAATCGAGTACCGAACAANGAACAAGAAACAACAACCACAAACGATAATGATGATGAAACCACAACTGCGGAATCAAGTACAGAATCAGAAACAACAACCCAAGGCGGCTTTCAATGTCCTGAACCGTCTGGATATTATGAACATGAAAATTGTTGGATGTATTATCAATGCGGCAACGGAATCGCATATGAAATGACCTGTCCAAAAGGCACTCAATGGAATCAAACGATTTTGACTTGCGATCATTTGACTGATTGTGAACGACCTGATATGAATGAAACAACAACAACATCGAATGATGATGACGATGAAACCACAACATCAAACGGTGATGATGATGACAATGAAACCACAACTGTGGAATCCACTACATCAAATGATAATGATGATGATGAAACTACGACCGCAGAATCGAGTACCGAACAAGAATCGACGACATCAAACGATGATGATGAGACCACGACAGCAGAATCGAGTACTGAGCAAGAAACAACAACCCAAGGCGGTTTTCAATGTCCTGAACCGTCTGGATATTATGAACATAAAAATTGCTGGATGTATTATCAATGCGGCAACGGAATCGCATATGAAATGACCTGTCCGAAAGGTACTCAATGGAATCAAACAATTTTGACTTGCGATCATTTAACTGATTGTGA